TTAGGTGATGGTGGCGGCGTCTATTCCCCTCCATTCGGCGTTGGCCCACTCCAACGCCTTCCCGGAGAGACAGGAGATGAGGGCGGAGACGCTCTCGTATCCCGAGGGCGCCGGGTGTATGGTGGCAAGGTAAAGTTCTACCTGTAGGAGAAAGCCCTGACACCGGCTGCAGAACCGTCATATGCCCTCGGGAGCGAGAGCCGAATGCCACTGGGTTACGGTGCTGAGAGAGGAGGACTGGCCGTTGGTGCTGGGATGGTGTGAGAAGGCGTGGGCACCTCCCGATTCATCAACCGCGCAGACTGTTGGACACCTCGTCCATGGCGACCCCGGGGTTGCCGGTCATGGCGTCCTGGTAATTAATCGGTCCCCCAAGGGGAAGGGGGGGATCGCCGGTTCGCGGGCTCCAAGGGGATGGTGGGGTGTTGTCATGAGGTGAGGTGTATGGGGGGGGAAGTCAGGCGAGGAAACCGAGGTCAGTCCCCCCAAAAAAGGTTTTTCTCAAAATTTTCCAAAAAAAAGGGAAAAAGGAAAAAAAAAGACCCCAAACCAAAGAGGCGAAACATTTACGCAAAATGCGGAAAACACAAAAATGCCCAAAAAAGAAACAAAAAAACCTTTAGGGAAAACGAAAAGGCGAACAACCCAACCCCAATCCTTTCCAAAACAAAAAAGACGGAACTTATAGGAAGGGGGGGAGAATTTCCAAAAGGGGCCCGGGGGACCCGACCCGACGAAAGCAAAACAACCAGAAACATAAGCGGTGGCAGTTTGTACCGGGGGGGGGCGACCGCCCAAGCCTCTCGTACCCGGAGGGGGGGGCAGCCTCCCGGGAGAAAAAAACCCTGACATATGTCAGGGGGTGTGGTAAAAAAAGGGGTTTTTCCCTTTCACTCTCAAGCAGGTTCATATTGTAAAAACTCACACCGTGTGTGGGAAAAAATCCCAAAGCATTTGGGTTTCCCCCCTGTTTTTGTGCCTAAGCATGATTTATAAAATTTAGGCCCCCGGCTTTTAATTTCCTTTTAAAAATTTTAAAAAATTTTTTACATTTGGAAAAAAACTGTCTTTCCAAAAAAAAGAAAGCATCCATACTGCCAAACTTTTTTTTGAGGGTTTTAAGTTTTTAAATTTTAATAAGCCTTTCAAACCCAACCCGAACGCACAATTTTGATAAGCGTTGGATTGGGTTAATTATAAAACAGTGCTAATGGTTTCTACAGTGAGCTGAATCCCGAGGAAAAAAAAAAGAAAAAAAAAAAAAAAAAAAATTAACTCTGATTTTTTGCCAAGTTTTTAGGATTTAGTTTTTAGGCAAAATTTTTTGGTGCCCTGCCTTTTTTTTGGAAAGGGGTTTAACCAAATTGTATTGTGCCCCCACCACAAAGAAAAAACCAACAATGTATTATTATTTTTATTATTTATGAAGTATTAGTTTTAAAATTTTTTTTGTAGCCCTCGAGAACTAAATTAAGGGAAAAAAATATGTCTATTTAAAAATAATCGCTTTTTACTCTGGGGCTTGCCCTTCTTCTAAATAATGTAGCCAACACTCCCCTCCCCCCCCCCCACGCTGGGACAACTAGCCATGTTGAGGTGTGAAGACGGAGGAATTATTCTGCCGTGGAATGTCAGACCAGTTAAAAGGGCCCATGTGTGACGGTAGCCAGAATAGTGTTCTGTTCAGTCAGTCTCAGGAGCGGTGTGGGCACCCCACCATGAGAAGGAGGCGATGGGGCCTGAGGCTGGAAAGATGGGGAGCTGGCCTGGCAGAGGCTGCGGGGTCAGCAGGAAGGGGCTGGGGGAGGGTGGAGGAGGGAGGGTGGAGGACCAGGGGAGAGGGGGGAGGGAGGCCCTGGGGAGGGGGAGGAGGGAGGGGTGGAGGACCAGGGAGGAGGGGGGGGAGGGAGGCCCTGGGGGAGGGGGGAAAGGAGGGGGGTGGAGGACCAGGGGAGAGGGGGAGGAGGCCCTGTCTGACTTGTCTTGTTACGGCATAGTGTCTTGGAGCGAATAAATACTTTAAGCAAAAAAAACACTGCTCCCCTTGAACATTCATGGCAACACAACACACTGATACAACGTATGGTTGATTTTCGTTTTACTTTCAGTGCTTCATTTGGAATATCAATAGAGTATTTTAGTATAAGTATTTTTATAATCAATATCAGAATTTCTATGTAATTATTGTTTGTGTAGAGATAAACGCAATCCAGATTTTTTTCGACTTTGTTATAACGATACAGATATTTGTGCTGGATGTTGAGAGAGTTGCCAGTAAGCATTTCGCTGCCCACGTTTATGCTTGCTGTAAATGTGTATGTGACAAAAAACTTTGATTTGATTTGGATCCCTGACAGTGATAATAATATAATATGCCATTTAGCAGACGCTTTTATCCAAAGCGACTTACAGTCATGCGTGCATAATTTTATTTATGGGTGGTCCCGGGATCGAACCCACAAACCTGGCGTTACAAGCCCGTGCTCTACCAATTGAGCTACAGAGGACCATAAGGCCAGCTAATCATACCATGACAGAAAAAAGCTAAAATAAAAGTGATAGCATTAGTAGCAAAACCCATTAAGGCCGGCTAATCATATCCATGACAGAATAAAGCTTACCAAAAATGACTGCCTCTTCCAGCTTTTAATCACATCTTCTGCATTCTGGAGCAGCTCTGTGGTGGTATTTGACGGCCATTAGGGGTCCCTGATACCCTGGAGCAGATCTGTGGTGGCATATGACGGCCATTAGGGGGCCTGAACCCTGAGGGGACAACTCAAATAAATTCAATCAACGTTTTTTTGTCACCTGAAGAAAAACAACAGGTGTAAACTATACAGTGGAATGCTTCCTTTCAAGCTCTCCTCACAATCGAGTTCAACGATATCAAATTTGGTTTGGACGATTCAGTAGACTTCTTCCCTGGTTCTTACAGGCCTGCCAGTGATAGATTCCCCGGTTGAGCTGCTTCCATGGTCTGGACTAGGCCTGAACTCCCCAGGGGACTAGATCAGGTGAGACGCTCCATGGTTCTGACTAGGGCCTGAAACTCCCCAGGGGACTGGATTCGGTTGAGACTGCCCCATGGTTCTGACAAGAAACTCCCCAGGGGACTAGATTTAGGTTGAGACTTGCCCATGGTTCTACTAGGCCTGAACTCCCCGGGGACTAGATTCAGGTTGAGACTGCCCCATGGTTCTGACTAGGCATGAACTCCCCAGGGGACTAGATCAGGTGGGACTTTCCATGGTTCTGACACAGAACTCCCCAGGGGAAAAGATTCAGGTTGAGACTGCTCCATTGTTTGACAAGAACTCCCAGGGGACTAGATTCAAGTTGAGACTGCTCCATGGTTCTTTACAAGAACTCCCCAGGGGAATAGATTCAGGTTGAGACGCTCCATGGTTCTGACAAAAACTCCCCAGGGGACTACTGATTCAGGTTTTGAGACTGCCCCATGTTCTGACAAGAACTCCCCGGGGACTAGATTCAGGTTGAGACTGCTCCATTGCTACTAACGAACTCCCCTGGGGCCTACTACTTTCTGTTCTGTAAGTCAATTCCACTTCTGGCTATTTGCCTTCTTCCCAATTTCAGCTGAATTTTTTATTTGAGATCAAGATCGTCCGGTGTAATCTAAGAAAATGAAAAGGAATAACATCACCCCGCAAAAATTCAACTTATTTAGTTGAAAAAGACACTGTAATTGAAAAATTGTTGTTACTAAGTGTAGTCTGAAACCACTTGAGTTTGGAGGGGTGAGCACTGAACACTCCAATTGAATCCAGGCTCAGTCCAGCGCTACACCAACCACCCAGTGACCCAATCTGGATGGCTGGCAACACATTGTCCTGAGGCCACTTTATCCCAAAAAAAAACTTTTCTTTGCTCTTGTTTATTCCTCATTGCTTTTTGACTTCCATCTCAGGGAATTACTTTGTGCATCCGAGTTGCTGTTGGATGGGTTTATATAGTCATTTGCAAATCGTTTGAAATTTAACTTCGATTTCTTTTACTCACACTTTCATCAGAGGGTATATGACAGGTGAGGCGATGATGGTTGCATCCCAAATGGAACGTATTCCCTATGTAGTGCGCTACGTTTGACCAGATCCTTAAGTAGTGCACTAAATAGGGAAAAGGGTGCCATTTGGGACGCAAACCCTTATGTCAGATTGTATCGCTTTTGATGTCGTGACTTGTTTACCACAGGAAAAGAAAACACGGTCTTGGCTCTTAGGAGGCAGGAGCCTTCCATCGTCTCGTATCTAGGCTTCTGCACATAGGAGAGCAGTCCACCTCGGGATAGATCAAATGTATTTTTTGCCCGGTAGTCCCGTACTTACAGAGACAGAGGTCGATAAGTCGTGATGTTACACTCCAGCAAGATCTGGGTACACAAGTGACAACATCTATGTCAAAAAGTGAGATGGGGATCAAGGGGGAATTTTTATTCAAACTGGATTTTTCCCTTTTTGGTTAGAAAAAAATAATATTTATACATAATGTTAAAGGAGATGATTCTGGGAGTCGATGTCAGACTGTGACAGTTGAATATCTTTGACATTTACCCTAAAAAGGGCCCCAAATTTTGGCCCTTTTTGGGTATTTTTGCCCCTTGATTGAATCTCCCCTAATCTACTTAGGCAACTAGATGGTTTAACTCCTTTCTTTAGATTTCTTTTTTGAATCGGTTGTAAATTCAATCTCCCAATCACATCTAAGCCATAGACCAACTCAATGACATTACAAATCATCACAAATCAACTTATTATACACAACCCATTTGTCCCCCCTCTCGTCAAAAAGAGCCCAATTGACCGTCCAAACCAATACTTGGGGTAAAAGGGGACAATTT